CACAGCAGTGACTCAACTTAAATGAGTGTGTGTGTGAGGTTAGTTTATTTGAAAGTTTAATCTGAAGCTGTTAACAGTCAGGAGTGTTTCTGATTTGCATTGTTACTCATATTCAGCTGTTACTCATCATCTCATATTCAACATCACATCATAGAAGCTGATTATTCTAGAAATATAATGTTCTGTGTTACAAAATGACAAATTCAGAGAATATTTGCTTTTGTTTGTATGTTAACAGTGAACTGTGCTCATCACAGCGCCAAATATCTGGACTACAACATGTCCAGTTAACAGTAATTAATTAATTAACATAAACTGACAATGAAAACTACGTCAAAATCATTTAATAATCTTAATGTTAAAGGGGTCATATGATGCTTTTTTAAAGATCATTATTTTGTGTATTTGGTGTAACAGAATATGTTGACATGCTTTAATGTTCAAAAAACACATTATTTTTCAAACAAGGCATATTGAATGCATTTAATTACACTAATAATGCATTAGATATATAAAGGCTTTAAGTGTTAAAGGCATGCTCATAGACTGTGTTCCACAGAGCTGTAAGAATTTGAAGAGAAATGTAAAAACAAGTTGCTGCTGCAGTTTAGTTTCAGTAAATGCTCTTTAAATGCACAATGCATAAAGTGAATGCTCTTTATGGAGAAAAGGAAACTATGTTCTCCATTTATGTTTATTCATTTAGTGAGTATTTTTGTTCAAAAAGATGAGGGACGAGTGAGACAGGAGTGTGATAGACTCGTCTGCTTGTGTTTGTGTTTGTGTAAGTCTGAGTTTTGGCCTTCAGGTCTCTCTCAAGCTGCTTAATTTGCCTTAAATAACAGTTATTTGTGAGTTTTCTCAGCATACCGTCAACACAGCTGCTATCAGAGGCGCTCGTGGAGCCTGTTTGTGTTTGAATGCGAAAGATTAAGGGCCCGATTGATCCGTTTGACTGAGAGATCCGACATACAGCAGCACAAATCAAAGAGAAACGATTCACCTGTGCTGAATGAGAGAGATCTGAGCGACAGAATGAAAGCACCGCTGACAGATAACACCAGCACAACGCCGCAAAGTATAATTAGCAATACAAATCCCTTTACTGGGAGTATTTATAATGCAATTAACCTACAACACACACACACACACTTCTCTTTAGCGCTGTACATTCTGACACACTGTGAAGTAACAAGTCATCAAACAAGTGGAAATTGAAAAGAGAAACATCACAGTGTGCAGATGAAAACAGCATAATACCACACTGTTTAGTGAGTTTAACATCTGTCACGCTGGATGATCTGTCACATAGATTCATATACTGTGTGTGAACCTGGATGACATACAACATGACAGACCTTAAAATCACAGCAGATGTCCATTATATGATCTGACTGAGAAAAGTGAAGACATTTTTACATCAAATTAGATTAAAAATTATTACATGTATTGTGGCCATTTCTATTCTACAGCACCTTCTGAACTCTGCCTCTTTATTTGATTTGATTTGATTTGATGATTTGATTTGATTTGTCAAAGCCATAATATTATGAAGTATTATTACAGAATATTTTTGTTGAAACTTGATACATTTTACTTTTCAGGATTGACAGATGGATACAAAATCTCAAAAGAACAGCATTTATTTCAAATAGAAATCTATTTTGACATTATAAATGTTTACAAAATATCTACAGTCACTTTTGATCAATTTAATGCTTCCTTGAAGAACAAAACGTAATATTAATTTATTTTTCTTACTTTATATCTTACCTCAAACCTTTAAATGGTTGTGTATCTCAGTTTTTGCTAAAATTAATTATTCCAAACTTTTGACTGGTAGTATATCACATTTGAAATGCTTTTTAAAAATAGTATAAAATAAAATATATGTAACAATAGTAAATGCAGCTGATTATTATGAATGGGTGTTTTTTTTTTATTATGTTTGTGTGTTTATTATGTGCCTGAAGGAACACACAGATGATGAAGCTTCAGTTAGTTTGAAGCGTTCAGTGCTGTGATGGGAGTTTCTCTCTGTCACACATTCATTTGATTTAATTTGCGTCTCTGTTCTTTCTGGTCTCTCTGAGGAGCGTCCGTCGCTCGCTCCACTCCCGCTCTTTTTTTTCTGTTGCCACAGCAACAGGATGGTTCTGTCTTGAGGAATGCTGGCGGGATTCTGTTGCCGTCGGCAGCGGGAGAGAACAGCCTGTTTAACCAGAAAGCATCAGGGCTCTGCCGCAGTGGGAAACACTAGAAACAATATGATGATCCAAACCATTTGACTGATGCTGCCGAGAGGCCAGTCACCACAGAAAATAACCTCAGCCTCGTCCGTCACTGTGTTTACAATAATCAGCCCCACCAGGGACTTTTCCCCCATGAATTTTGTGATCAAAATGACTAATTTTGTGGTGGTAATTCACAGAAATTTTGCAAATTTTTTTTTTTTTTTTAAGTAGGATAACCATTTTACCATATTATGTATCATGTTAGTTGCTCAATAGTCATACATGACACAGAGAGCAAACAAAATGCATAAAGCTTGTTTATTTAGAAAAGAATATAAGAACAATATAAAGATTACAACAGTGCTTAATTTAGGTACTTTATTTCTTCTGTTCTGTTGTTGTTTCGTTAATATTAACGACACAGACAGCAGTAATGCTTTAGGAAACTCTGTTGCAGAATATGGGCAGGGTTGCCAGGTCTTCAAAACAAAACCAGCCCAATTAGGTTAGGGTTTCCGCAGTTTTCCCCTCTGTTGAAACAGCATTCCGGTGAGATCACTTTAACCCTCAGACTTCAAAAACAACCTGCGGCAACAGTGTAAAAGTAGCCCAATTGGGAGGTAAACCGGCAGACTTGGCAACCCTGGTTATGTGAGACTGATTCACTGTTTCACACAGACTCACGAGCTGTGTTTCCATCCACCTATTTTATGCACATTTTGGGATATCGCATAAAAAACGCTGGATGGAAATGCCAAGATGCGCATAAATTCTAAAAATGTGCATAAAAAATGTATGCGCTCAACTAAGTCAGATAAATTCCTAGTATCTGAAGAAACATTTCTGATTATTATCAATGTTGAAAACAGTTGTGCTGCACAATATTTTTGTGGAAACCGTGATACATTTTATTTTTCAGGATTCACAGATGAATAGAAAGTTCAAAAAAACAGCATTTATTTGAAATAGAAATCTTTTGTAACATTATAAATGTCTTTACTGTCACTTTTAAACAATTTAATGCATCCTTGATGAAAAGAAAAATACCCACCCCAGACTTTTGAACATGAATGAACCTTAATCTGTTCATTATATTATATATTATAACACTTTTTTTCTGTCCACATTATTGAAGCTTTGATGAATAAACAAAGCCAACTATGACTTTTAATTATGAACATCTCTCAACATCTCTCTGTTTTTGATCTTTTTATTGTTTTATTATTATATCCTGCTTACTGCTTAATGTTATGGGAAATCAGTATGTTTTTTGTTATTGATTAGAATTTTAAGTGACATACAGGTATTAAATAAAAGTTCAGGATCTCATCAGATCTGCAGCTAGTTTAGCTGTGTTATTGATGTGTGTGTGTGTGTGTGTGTGTGTGTTGTAGGTGGCAGAGCAGCTGATGACTATAGCCTATGAAAATGGGGTCAACCTCTTTGACACTGCAGAGGTCTATTCAGCTGGGAAGTGAGTTTGACCTTTGACTTAAAGTAAAACTGAGTGGCTAAATCCATCTAGACACTTGCATACTATCTTGCATACTAGAACCTATTGAATGGATAGTATGCAAATTAGATTCAGCCAGTGTGTAAGAGCACAAATAATCCTGGATTACAGTCCATCCTGTAAACTTCAGATCCAAACTTGCCAAGATGATTCATCTAAACCTGTTAGAAGAAACAGAAGGGAATTCACTATAATTAAATTGCACCCACTGATAGCAACGTTTTTGCACACATTGTCTGCATTACTTTTGCACCAAATTCTCTAAAGGAATTATGCATTCAGGTTGAGGTGCAAACGGCCACAAATTTAGTGCTAAATGCAATTTGCATAGATCAGTTTCTAGGCTTGCAGGCCAGTTTCTGAGTGTTAGTTAGCACATGGCGCAACAGACTAGAGTGATCATATTTTTTTGGGACTGTACATCATCACTCCACCACTGTCATAAGGCACCTTTAAAATGCCAGAAGTCTGGATATGTGCCTGGTTGTGATGCTTTTCTCCATTCTTTGAGCATCGTTTGATGAATTACCGCTGTCATGATCACTATAGAAGTACACTAACATTCATTTAAATAAGCTTTAAATTTCCTCCAGTTTTCTGTGGACAGTAACCATAGCTCAATGTTAACTGTGTCAGGCAAATAGCGCTGACGTTTGTGAATCTGGCGATTTCTATAATGAAACTTATGCATACAAAGGAGGAGTGTTTACCCTGAAAAAATGACAGTAACTTTAAAGATAAAGTTTAAATATATGCATAGTGCAGTGCTATAGTGGCTCTATAGTGAATTCACCTCGCAGTGCCATGGAAAAATTCTCTACAAATCCAGAAATAAAATCTTAAAAAGCACATAAAATGTGTCTTTCTTCTTCACAGGGCTGAAATAATCCTAGGAAACATTATCAAGAAAAAGTGTTGGAGGTATTTATCTTACTTCTTTCCAATTATAATTTTAATCATCAATTTCATTGGCTGAGAAATTTAAAAGGCCACTGCTTTCACACAAAGTCCATAATCTGTCTGTGTGTGTACAGGAGATCAAGTCTGGTCATCACCACTAAACTGTACTGGGGAGGAAAGTGAGTATCTGTATGTCTGTCTGTCTGACTTTCTTTCTTTCTTTCTTTTTGTCTGCCTGTCTATCTGTCTATTCATTCTATCAATAACTGCTCTCATTAACTCCTTGAGATTTAGGCTTTTAGATTTAGTCTGCTTATGTAAAGCTTTCTTTTTCTTTCTTTCTTTCTTTCTTTCTTTCTTTCTTTCTTTCTTTCTTTCCTTCTTTCTATTTCTCTAGGGCAGAGACAGAGCGTGGGCTCTCTAGGAAGCACATTATTGAAGGTAGAGATTCTTCTTCTTTCGTCTAATTCCCCTGTCGTTTGTAATTGACCTGAT